CATTAAAAATTCAGGGAACTGAGCAAGAAATGAACAAGTGAATCCAGTGGGAAGAACTAAGACTTCAGACCTTTCTAAACATAGAGTGAGGCAGGCCTGGGCCACTCAATGCAGGACTCACACACCTGTGGGTGCCTCCTCGGAGCCTTCATGAGACTGTTGTTCCCCACCACACACGAGTTTTCTGAGGAACCCAGCATTGTCTTACAGAACTCTCTACCATCACGCGTAAGTGATGGGCTGGCTCCTTGGAGGTCAACCCCTGACAGTGAGTCCTACAACTTCACATGTATTTGGGTAGTGGGGAGGGTTGGGAATCCCAAGGTTGGGGGAAGAGAGGAAGGAGATGTCGAGGAAAGAGACATGGTAGGGTGATCAGTGGACTCCTGAACCACCGCTGCGCGGCAAAGAGCGTGGGTGCTTTTTTTGTTCAAGGAAAAGCCACTGGACCTCAGGGAACCCAGATCATTTCACTGACTTCGACAGTCCCTAGCGAGGAGACAGGAAAGTGCAAGTACTTATCAGGTCTCCCCTCGGTGTACTGTTTGTGGGCACACAACTGCACAGAGTGCCATGTTGCCCTCACGCCATGTTTTTGTCCATCTCATTTAACCTCCCTGTGGCTATCCCAGAAGAAAGGGATTGCGTGTAGAGGTGAGGAAACTGAGGTTCAAACAAGCTCCAAATCACACTATATTCACAGTTGGTTGACAGCCCAGGCTCTGAGGCCAGGCTGTCTGGGGGGACTAGTTTTACCTCTGCACCTTCCTCACTGGATACTTTGGACATGTTATTAACTCATCCCCTCAACTTCGATTCTGGCATAGATGAGGGTTGTTTACAGGCTAAGATGAATTTGTGTAAAACTCTTGGCACATGGTAAATCCTCCATGTAAGCTGCTCTTTTTATCATCACAAACTAAGCTAATAGCATGCCTGGCATTCAATCTAGGACCTCTACCCCCAAATCCCATTCATTTTCAACTAAAAAAAACGGTTCCTGTATTTAAATTGTTTTTGCCTTGTAGACTGTGTCACAGTGTTGAGAGTGTGAAGATCTTTCGCGGAAGGAAATGGTAAGCATCATTCACTCAGGAGGAAACAGCGCTTGTGAATAAGAACCGGCTGGGGCCAGGTGTGTGCAAGTTGGAAGCATAGGAGCATACTTTTCAGGGACAGATTTGACCATCAATGGGGACATGAGAGGAGAGGGTTTCAGCAGAAAGCCGTGAAGGCAGGACATGAGCTGCCACTGGAGTGAGAGAAACCAAAGGTGGTGGGGGCATTTCGGCTCATGGTGAGAGGTGGAGGAATGCTGAGAAGGTCACTAACACCTGCAATCCAAAGTAGACCCCGAGGAGATTCTTTCTGTACATGTGACAAAAGATTTTAGAGCTTACTATTCAAATAAATGTGATTGAATACCTCAGGTAATATTAGAATAAAGAAATATTTGGGGACTTCCCTAAAATAAAGGATAACTCTGCGATTCCTCCACAACTGCCCTGCTCTGAGCACTCACATTCACTAATTCATGTCACCATCTTGAATCACCAACATTTGAGTTTGAGCCTCTTTTTAAGTTTTCAGTGTGGCGATGTTTCTGCCTCACTCCTGGCTATAAAACTCTGCCTACAGAGTTTTATCCAGACCACTCCATGTGGAAAATTGCTAGGATTTAATTCTTTGATAGTGCTTAACACCGTAGATTATTCAGTGTGACACTCCAGATTGTTTCCCTATTATTCTACTTGGAGGTGGTATGATGGTAGAGTCTTTGTTCTTGTTAACAAGTTCACTAAAAGAATCAGAAACACAGCGAGAACTTTGGCTTTCTTCTTGAAATAATTTTTCTTTCTCTTTGCTTTCCTGCTAGTTAAGTGATTGCATAATATCTCACATGGAGAATTAATAGGATTATAATGTTTAGGATAGTGTTTTATAAATGTTCCTTATGCAAAATATCAATTATATTAGTAATCTGTTTCTATATTATCTGATTTCCAAATAGTCCAGAGAGAAATGTTTTTGTCATTTATATTTAATTCAGAAACAGGAATATTTTTTCTCTCTTTGACATAATTTTGGGCTTTCTTGCGATTGCTTTTACTACTGTTGCTAAGTAATTGTACATTTGCTCAAATTTTGCTCAAATTGAAGCGCAATAGAATTGTAATTTCTAAGATAGTGCTTCATAAATGGATCTCATTTGGAAGAGAATTTGGTGAGGGCTTTGTTTCCTTTTCCTCTATTTCTAGTCTGTATAAAGACAGTATTTCAGTGATGGATGTTTATTAAGGTCCCCAAACTAGTGACAGTATATCATGAATGGTCTTACAACTACAAAGATTCAAAACACAAAATTTGCTTCTGTGTGCAAAGAGCCAAAATGACTAGTTTTAAGACTAATATAGTCAACTAAGTTATTTTGGGCTCATAAAGAAAGTGGTCTGTGAAAACTTTTATAGGCCAAGCATTACTTCCTTCTTTATTCATCACATATTTAGTGTGTAAGTAGCTCTGACCGTTTGTCTACCTTTAGCCTTCAGCCTCAGAATCCAGCTCTGCACAAAGATTACCAATATAGAATGGGAGTTCTCCTTCAGAGACAACCCAGTTTCTCAATATTCTTCCTATGGTACCCAACATATGCTGACCCACCATAACCAAGATTAACATCTCTCAAAACCAGCCTTTCAGGGTGCATACTTCAGTGATGAGAAGGAAGGTGAAATGAAGTCATTGGGATGCACAAGAAGGAACCTGAACTCAGCTTTAATTCAACCTTGAGACTTCCTCAGGCTAAAACTCCACACACAGAACTCTTCTGTCAGCCCAAGGCAAAGTTTTGAGAACAAAAATATTTTTAGGACCCTGATTCCCTTCTTCTAAATGTCCTTCACCTCTCCCTCCCCATCGCAAGTCTTCTCTTAGAAATGAAAAGGACCTCAGCCAAGCTGTCAACCCTCCCCCGCTCCCAGGTTGCCGTCTCCATCCTCTGCCATTGATTGGCCGACCCAGTGACAGTTGGAGCTGATGTCCACTGACAGTTTAGAACTTTGCCTTCCACCAGGACAGAGCAAGGGCATGTAGCCCAGTAGGCACAAGACCCATTGAGGACCCGCCTGCCACGACTGGACCTGAGGAACCCCTACCTCTCCTGAGATCATTTACCTCTCACTACTGCAGCACTGCGGGGAGACTTCAGCAAGGTCGTAGGCGTGTGGCTGCCCTTCAATTCTCACAGCATTGTCGGTGCACAGGTCATAGCAAGTCACGGGCAGAGACAACAATCTACACCAGCTAAGCTGCAGCAGGCAACCTTCCCAGTGACCCTGAAGTCCTTGAGAATGGCTGATCTGCATGAAGTGGGGTCCAAGAGTAAATGTATTCTGTTGCTCAACTTAATGGAATACAGACTACCTCCCAGTCTTGTGGAGATGAGCATAAAGCATGCAGTAGTGCAAGTCTCTGACCCTGACCATAGGTAAATAAGACTACTATTGATTTCAACACAAAAAGTTCCCAAAGTGTCTCTTATTTGGTTTATTCATTTCTGAAGACAAATTACACTCCTCCCATAGTCAAAGAAGGACTGTGAGGTTTTAGTTGTACCATGACACCTTGCCTGATTATATGACTATAGTTTTTTTTTTTATCATGTTGAACTATAAGTGCTTTGGAGACTGGCAGATATCTCCCCAATTAGCCCAAATATATGGGATCTCTACCGGTTGTTGCATTTTCATCCTAGGTGATGCTCTAGAACTGTCTCTGCCTGGAAGCTTCCTGGTACAGCCTGCACCTAAACAAATTGTCCATGTAGGCTGAACCTGACCCTCCGTACCCCTGACGTGACCCAGAATGAGACCTGACCTCTGGACATATCACTGAGTATTGATTTACCTGAAATGTCCCTCAATATCAAATGTGCTTGAGTGACCTAATGGTGTCCAGCACAAGCCCAACATGAGTCCAGACAAATTACCTCCCAGCTAAGATCCGGGCCCTGTGTTCACCATTCTGGGTACTGTGTCCACCAATCTCTTTTGTATCCTACTTGCCATTATGTCATTCTTTATAACTTTAGTTTTTATTCCTCTTGATGTAGTAGGCATAAGTTTATGAATTTTGAAATGATGTTAAATCCAATTTAAGGATTATTCTTAGAATTGGATTTGGTGGGGAGGCATGTGGCAAAAGAATATACATTCCATAGTAAATTAAAATTATTCAGCATGATATCATGGTTTGTTCTAAATAAACAAACAAAAAAATTTCTGTTAATAATTGAATTAACTAAGGAGCCTCAAAACAAATCTTGAGTTTCAGCAGATAAGAACATTTTGTTTAAATACTTTTGTACTTCCTCAGCAGACTGGGAGATGCATGAATAGTTATGGGAAAAAATTAGAAAAGAGGAGAAGTTTTAGAATTGAGGCCTGGTTATTTGGATAGATGATTTGTTTTGTATTCCTTCCAATTGATAAAATATTTAGGACTCTTTGGGTTTTAGAATATGTCATAGTCTAATGAATATAAAGAATGTGCCACACTAGATTATGTCTCAGCAATGGACAATGAAGTGTGTGCTGTGCAAAGTTAGAGGTAAGAAAATGTGATATTACCTAAAAGTTGGTAGTCAAGGAAATCTTAAAGTCTGATATCATTATGAAGGCTACTTAGGTCAAGTTTTCTAGGTTTTAGCCTCAGTAATATTTACCCTCAGGTTCTCTCATTGTCTCCCAGGTCATTAGCATCCCTGTCAAGGTGGCTTAACGAATTTATTCATGGGGAAATGTTACTGGTATATCATGATCATACACATATGAAATAGTTTTGAAAAGGATCCAGGATTGAATAAGAAGAGATATATTTCCTATGTACCCATTTCCACTACATCTCATAAAGTTTATATTCTTGAAAATTTCCCATTTTATTTTGAATTTCTTAATCTGAACATTAGAAATAAAATATGATTGATAGAAAAATCTACTCACATTTCTTCCTGCAGCACCCAGACAGCAAGAGACCTCAGATTTTAGAACAGCAGGACTCGGTGATATGTTGATTTTTATCAAGTCTGAGAATCAAGAGTAAAGTAGCATGAAGACTGTGGAAAACCTGAATGATGTTAAAGCATCTAAAATAGAAGGTAATTTTAAATGATATAATAATTACAATTTTGATGATAGAATAATTAATGAAAATATTAAACATTAATTATAGTTGAGTATTCTAATGATAAACATTGTAAATTCTAATTTTATTAACATATCATCTATGTTCATTATTGGCATTGGTTTATGAAATAATTATTAATTTTGGATAAAAATATTATTACCAATATTAGTGATCGTAAAATATATTTTCATAATTATTTAGGGCAATACTTTCTAAGTTTATCATTAATACTTAAATAGAATCATATGCAACATCTCTTTTCCAATAAATAGAGATATTCCTTTTACTGATGTCATTTTCTGCTTAACAGAAAATGTGAATACTTGAAAATGAATGGATGCTTTGAATTATGTTTTAATTCCTTTCATTTTCAACATAATTGGATCATGTTACTCATTCTAGACTTTTGAAATGTATAATATTTGTTAATAACATCATTTGAAAAATTGAAGTTATTCACAAAATTAAATACGCACTTTCAAATATTTTTTCCTGGTCAAAGATACTTTATATAAACAGTTACAGTCAACTACACTGTCTGAATCTAAAATATGTTGTCTGTCAGTATAACATGTTGACAAGTGTTAATACGAATAGCATTAAATTTCACAATAGAGTGTGACGGTTTAATTTACACTTTTATTTCAAACAACTTTGCAGTGTTGTTTTTGGAAAGTTTCCTCTGCACATGCACTTATCCAGGTGGTGGAACATTTCATGGCTCGTTCCATTACACTTTTTATAAGTTATTCTCTTTTTTATAACGGTTTCGTTGAGATACAATTTATTTACCATAAAATTTATCATTTTAGTGTGTATACAATCCATTAGTTTTTAATACAAAGAGTTGTGCAACCATTAACATTAACTAATTTTAGAAAATTTCCATCATCTGTAAAATTTCCCTATCTACCAGCAGTCAATCCCCATTCTCCCTCCTCTCAGTCCCTGGATCCCACTATGGATTGTCTTACAGATTTATTTGTAGATCCTACTATATGTCTCTATAGATTTATTTATCCTGGACATTTCATATGAACAGAATCAAACAATACGTGTCCTTTTGTGTCTGACTTCTTTTGCTCACCATAATGTTTTCAAAGTTTATCTATGCTACAGCATGTATTTCATTTATTTAGATGTCTGAATATTGCATTGCATAGATAAGCTACATTTATCTATTCATCAGGTGAAGGAGCTCTCACACCCTAACCTTCAGTAATTACCAACATTTTTCCTTGACATTCTTCTCCTTAAGGAAAGAGCTTGAGACTAAAAGCTGAGAAATAGGAAGAAGGTATGCCCTCCTGGAGAAGAAAAAAAGCTCTCACATCCCAAAAAAGAATGGGAAAAACTTGTTTTATAAAGATGCACTGGAAACCCATGAGGAAATTTGTCTCTAAGAGAGTCAGTTCACTGTGCATAGGTGAGAATGACTCAATGGTCAACTTGGCACCCAAAGTTTATCAAAGAAATGTGTGTGCACACACACCTGTTGGATCCAGTGTGCAGTGTCATTTTTTCTGTTAAATGAATAATTTAAATACTTATTTTCAGAATAAGTGCCAAAATAGTTTTATTTTTCCTGAATTGAAGTACTTTTTTCAGAGCTGTGAATATTTTATGAAAAATGCTTTCCAGGAAAGAAATCTCTATTTCATATTAGTTTCACTACCTCTGTGGAACAGTCTCAGATGTGCTATAGGGTGGGAACTGTGGCACGCAAATGTGGGATCACTGCTCAGTCTTTCCTACTCCTTCACCCTCTCTAAGTTGGTATGTGGCAGTAAGGAAGCCTCAGCACCTCCCAGCACTAAGCCCTGTGGGGCTGATATTTAAGCACTTTCTAGAATTGAGATGGCTGATGTTAGAGTGGGAGGGGGTGGCAATAGATGGAAGAGAGTTGGAGAGGAGGAAAGTGACATCTCTTCCTGATGGAGGGAGGGAGAGTAAAGAGGGGTCAGACAGCAGGAGAGCATGGGAAGGAGGTGGTTCTCAGGGGAGTGGCCTGAGGCTCCCTGGCTGCTAGGTCACTGGCTCTTCCCTTTGCAGAAGGTCCTGGATGCCACCAGCCCAGGCCCCTCTTCAGGCTCATCTTGGCTCCAGTATATTCAGATAATGCTTTTCTTTCCCTTCTATCTTTAACCAAGGCCCGTATTTGAGAGCAGACACCACGATGAACCCAGCGGATGGGCTATAATTCTCCAGCTCACCTCCAGTCCCCACTTCTCGATGAAAAGAAAGTCTAAAGCCACATCGGAGATCCAGTAGCCAGCCTGGTAGCCTCAGTTATATCTTGATGTTCTTCTGCAGGACATAAACGTTTTTAAAGACTATCAACAGCAGACAAGTCCATTCTGGGATGGTGATGGATCGAGACACAAACAAGATCACTTTGTGATCCGGTCTGAACATACTAAAAAAATGGGAACATTGTCTAAACCACAAAATACCAACCATCCCCTCTCCTGAGAAGTCAAATGGCTGTTGCTCTTTTACAATCACATTTCTAGCTTTGCTCAAATTTCCCTCTCTACAGATAAGATTTACTAAAATACCAATCATAGAATTATTCCTGTTTCATGACAGCATGCAATTCGGGAAAAAAAATGTCAGTTTCTATGAACTCACCCCAAAATCTCCTGGCATAATGGAAATCCTACAGTCAGGTCCCTCTGCAAGGGCCACAACTGCCAAACTATGAAGGATTGAGGGACTGAGCAAGGAACTCAGAAGCAGGTGGCCCCTCGAAAGGGTCAGAACAAATCTCTTCAGCCTCTGCAACCTGGGGTGGGGCTATGAGAATTCTGGCCTGAAGGTGCCCTCCTCCTCCATATCTCCTCCTGTAGGGGCTGGGCCGTGCAGGTTCTGTGCCACCGTCATTACGAGATCAGTGTTTGGACTCCACGCCCTGTCCACCTAAAGGTCTGTTTATTCACAGTACCCACAAAGAAGAGTTGGAGCAGTAGGTAAAGCTGCCCCTGCTCAGAAAGTCCTGGCTACCGCACCATTTCACTGCTTCCACCAGCCCCACCGCAGACTCCTGAGAGGAGTAGTGTTCAGCTTGGTGAGGCTCTCCTGTCCTGCTCTGTGGGCCAGAAGTACAGCACAGAGGAGCTACGGACAGGCAGGTGGGTCATGGATGGGCGAAGCACCCAGTAGAGCAGCAGCCCAATCTATCTCCATTTTTTAATAAACAGAATCTGAATAACTAAATCCAGGAAAGTCTGTTTTATTCTTTTGTATCCTTTCTAAAGTACAAATAAAAGTCTTCACCACGATGAAGAAAACACTTGGATAGATTCCCTTCTTTTCTTCCACATTAGGCAACATCCTGAGTATCTCGAGTCCAGGGAGATTCATTTTCTGCACATCACATGACTACCTGAGCAAACATCTTCTCATGATCTTCAACATGATGGATCTTGTCCCACTGGTACCCCCACTTAGGCTTCATATGCTTGAAACAAGGACAGTCTCTTGGAACGTTTCATTTCAAAAATAGATTTCATGCCTTAATTTCACAAAAAAATTTACTGCCGTGGAAAAAAAGGGAGGGCTATAAAAATTATGCGTTCCTGGGAATGTTCAGATAACTTTAAAAATAAAGACTTAACTCTGATCATGGAACTTAAAGATACAAAAAGCAAATTTGTATATCCATCACTTCAGTCTCAATTATGTCATATATCTGTAAGAGTCTGTTCTTAAAGAACTACCTCCATTACCAACAACTGTATCATTTAGTGTTCAGCCACAGAAACACAATAGTGTTCTGGACTCAAGTCATACAGAAAACTAGTGAAATTATATGTACACGTGTGTGAACACATATATACATACGCACACATAAAAAGGCATTTATTACAAGGAATTTGTTTATACACTTGTGGGGCCTGGATAGGCAAAAATGAGATTCCTAGGACAGGTCCTTTGAAGGACAGATTGAAACTCTGGCAGGAGAGAAAGCTGCTGTGACAGGTGAGATTTCTTTCCTACTGGGAATGCTGTATCTTTACTCTCAAGTCTCCAATCATTGCATCAGCCCCACCTAGATTACTGAGGTTAATCTCTTTACTTAAATCCAACTGATTCTATAACTCAATCCATCCACAAAATATCTTCACGGCAACACCTAGATTATTTTTTTTAATAACTGGAGTATAGACTAGCCAAGATGACACTTAAACCCCACTATCAATGATGGAAAGAAATATGTTTCAGTAAGAGCTGAGGAAACAGGAAAAATACAACGTAAGGATATCCATATATTATAAATGTCATCGAGCCTAAAAAATGAAAAGTTTTAAACATTATAGAGAACAAAATGTATATATGTAAACTAGAGAGCACAGGTTCTAAGTCATATTTGGAATGATATATTAAGGGTATGGTTCTGGGCAAAGATATGCTAACGGCCAACTTCTACTTCTGTAATCTGCTTGCTTGTTTGATGATTAACTAGGGTGTGGTTAATCTGTTTGCTTGTTTGATGATTAACTAGGGTGTGACTAGGCTTTATAAGCTGCCTCTTTTGGGAGCTCGAGGCTGATCTCCTCAAACTCTGCATGTAGAGTATCAGTCGCCGGCCTGGCCGGCTAATAAAGGCTCATAATTCATCTCAATTGGCTCCGTGGGTCTTAGAATTGATCGCGCCACAACATTATAATAGATATAAAACTGCCTCGTGGGATCTGTACTTCTTCTTAATCTGATTACTTCAAATTTCTAATTGTGTTAAATATTTAATGAAAAGATTACATAGAAGGGTATTTAGTAAACAGGTGGGTCACCCTGGGCATTGATAAGCCTTGTTTCCTCCTGGAGAGCTGCTCAGTTGCCCACCTGTCATCTCTATGGAATCCAGGTATCTTGTCCCAAGATGGGTTTGAACAGCACGACAAGTGGTAAGTTCCCATCTGCTTTTGGCTCTCTTCTTTGATGTCACATGCTTTGTTTATTTTCCAGCATTTATAAATGTTAAATTCACAGTCACAATTAGGGGGATAGATTTGTTAGAGCCAGGGGAGTTTTACAGGGATATGCTGTGTCAAAGGGATAATGGATGCTTTAAAGTTGGAGACTTGGAATTTCAAATTTAAGATGACAGCGATGAGTCCCACACATGCGTTGTTGAAAGTTTTAAAGTTGGGACTTTAAATGGAAAAATATATACATGAAATATCTAATATTTTATATTTAATTTTACTAAAATGTATTTTTATCACAAAGTACCAGTTTTGTGCATTTTATTTATCCTATTGTTTCCATGTTTTGTTATTTATTTCCATTCGTGTTCCTAGCTCCTACAGCTTGCTATTTTCTTTCATATAATTTCGTGGATTTTCTGTAACTTAATCTCTTTACTTAAATCCTTTAACTCAGATCACAGACTGTCATTTTTTTCTATTTGATATATATCTAAACTATATGTCTCCAATTTAGCATGACTTTAACCTCATCCTTAAAGTAAAAATACCGAATAATCATTGGACCTACAGCTTTTCAACCTGAAATAAACATGAGACGTATGCTAACAGTTTTTAATTCATAAACGTATCCTTCATACTCCTCTCCCCACATTCTCTTTATCAGGCAGACCACAAAAAGAAACCTGGAAAGTCAGAACTGTTTACAATCAGAGTCAAAAAGATATCCTCCAAAAATGGTTTGAACATAACCCTTACCCGGATACAGCTACGAGGAGACAGCTGGCCAAGGAGATTGGCATTCCAGAGTATAACATTCAGGTAAGCATGAGGTTTCTATTTCATTATGTCAGAGTCAAGGTAACGAGAAAAGCTGCACTTTTAGGCAATTCTCTTGTCAGGTATGTTGACCAGAAGGTTTTTCCTGGTATATGACATTAAAAACAAAAGGGACAAGAAATGTTTATATCTTCCACCAGCGGTGGAAATCTTGGTTACGTATATTTACTGATGGGAGGAGAATATACAGGCTCAGGCTCCCTCGATAGGAAATAATTAAATCAATTTTAGCAAATATAGGAAATTAGATCACTATGATAATGACATGGTATCATTAAGTTTTGGAATATATACTGCAGAATAATAATTAATATGTAATTGAGGACACTGGAATAAGAACTCATGTAAATTCCCAATTTTCAGGCTGTTTTTTAAAATTAATATCTGAAATATGATTCATACATGGGAGTGCATGAAGTAAAATATTAAATTGTATTATTTTGAATGGAACTACTGATGCAAAACTGAAACTAAGTTGGATTTCTTCAGTTAGCAAGGAGATAGCTGTAAACAATACAATTATACCAGAAGAAACAGTAAATAAAGACCAATAAAAATGTGCTTTCAGAGGACAATGAGTTCAAATTTTTTTATTAAATATATAGACTCCAATAAACGATTGGCTATAATGTCCTCAGTCTGATGGGATGCTGGGAAGAAGAAATTTTTCTTTACTCTTCATGCATTTGTTCTGAGTGGGAGACAGTTTACTTAAATCTCATCCTATGGGACCATCTGGTGATTAGCTGTGTGAGAGATCGGGCCCATTTCAACTGATGTGGAGGATGAACTGATGGCAAGTCCAGAAAACAATGCAAGATGAGGTTGGCTCTCCCACAGTGTTCACTAATTTATTCATTAGTTTCCAGTTTCTACCCGTGCTTAAGACTTCTAGTCTGAAAGTATTTTTCATTAATTAATTTAGAGAACACATATAACCTTTAGGACAATGCCCTGGGGTATAACAGCGGTTCCTTGGATATTGGTTGTCAGTAACACTCTAGATCTTATCATAAATTATCAAATTATCAAAATAAAACATTCGGTTAGAAAGTACATTGCAATTCAGACTCCAGTAATGAGGAAATGAACAGTTCACTTCGTTATGTTAGTGACAAGTTTCACAGCAAGGTATATGGGGTATCTAGGGTTCTCCTTATCTCTTGCTGACTATGAGATAAAATAAGAGGAAATGTGGACAAGTGTTAGTCCGTCTTAGGCTAACTGGGACTAATTCTACTCCCCAGTTAAAGAAATTATTTTCCAAGATCACATCCTTATGTATTATGTATTATGAAATGGTATCTCTTATGAAGAGATGATGGGGGCCAAAAAAGGAAATTTAAACGTTGAAGACTTTCTATTACTGATTGAGAGCACTAACAGTATCTCTTAAATCAGAAAAATTTATTTGGGATACCATGATGATGACCATAAAAGAAATGCTAATTTGAGCTGAGAGCATAAAATTATGAATTGTATGCCGTTTCATTATTCCTAGGATAATACATGGCCTTTTTCTTATGGATATTATCCCAATGGTGGTTAAATCAGTTTTATTTAATAGCATTGATACTAGGAATGACATAGACTGGGTTACCTGAGTTTCTCATCTTTTTCTCCCACTTAGATTTGGTTTAAAAACCAGAGAACAAAACGGAGACTATTGGGATCTGGATGGTCCTTAGGAAAAGACCAAACTCAGGGACAGGAACAGCACCAGCCTTGGATTCAAGGTAAGAACCCATGGGTCCAAATGCGTTTCTTCAGTGTTGTCCCATTGAGAATAGAAACAATTCTGCATATTGTGTCCAAATCCTCCACAAAAAATAAATCCTTAAGAGCCAATTACAGCCTGTTCTAGGCACCCTAGTGTCAAAAATATAAGCATGGTCCCACAGTTGGCTGGGACAGGCAAATTCTTAGCAAGCAAAGCCCTGGACCTTTTGGCCCTGCTGCTCTAAGTATGGCGGCATCCTCTTCTCTGTCACCTCAGGGAAATTTAGAGGAAGTGTGGTGTTATCTCAAGTTTGAGCTTCCAGTTGAATGTGAAAACTACTTTTCATTTTTAGTGTCTTAAAAACTGTCTTTTGTTCCTGTTATCCTTTAGAAACCTTACCAAAAGAAGCCAGACAAGACCAGACATCCATCGCAAGATCTGAATCAAACATTCCAGTTCAAGCTTTTGACAGGAACCAATTCCCTGATATTGCAACCAGGAGAATACTGGCTAAACAAACAGGCATTCAGGAATCAAGAATTCAGGTAAGTTCTGTCTGGCACCAAGTATCTTCTGTGATATTGCCCCCTGAAGGGATGCTGGAAAAGGACTGACCTATCTTGGATTATCACAGTCATTAAGGGACAAATCGGATGGTATAAAGACCTAGCACTGCAAATCAGATTCAAACCAAATTGTCAGTGGTGTATCCATTTAGAATCACTGGTAGCAAAAATGTGGAAAAATGTGAAAGTTAATATCGATTTTGAGAACACTCTTATCAGATTTTCTACACCTAGGCTACATGTTATCACATTAGATCATATCATTCTTCCTTGTAAGGGACTGCCCTGTGCCTAGTAGGATATTTTTTAGCATTCTTGGCCTCTACCAACTAGAAACCCTGCCCACTTACCCTCCTCCCATTTGTGACACCCCAAAAAACCTACATAGTCAAATGTCCTCCATTTGGGGAACAAAATCGCTCCCATTGAGTACCTTCTACCTAAGTTATGGAGATAATACTTTAGTATATGTTAAAATGTTCATGACTAGGAAGCATGTTCATAGGTTTATCAACACAGAAACCCTCAAAAACTTGTGTTATTAACCCTTGTCATATTTACACACATTCAGATACATATGTTCCTATGCACACATTGGCGAAGAGGAGAAAAATGTCAACCTGGTCAAGAGAACTTGTTTGCTGATCCATTGTTGTAGAGGGGGAGTTCTAGAACATATTGCCTTTTTAGCCAGTTTCAATTAATCTAGTTTATTGCTGTATTATGACCTCAATTTGTCTGCATATATACACACACATATGCACACACATACTGAATACATATTTGTTTCATAGATATATTTACATGTATTTAAAACTATGCTAATATTAGCGCCTGTATTATTACCCCTTTGCTTTACACAGTGAGAAACAGAGCCAGAATTGCTTGTTTTATCATGTTCATGTCTCCTTTTTCTTTGCATAGATGAAGTTTCAAAACCAAAGATCTCTGCATCCAGGTCAGAGCAGGAAGCCTGTGATTTCCTTGGTAGATGGCCCAAATGAGACACCAAATCTGACAGTTCAGCAAAACCAAATTGACCTGTCCACTGTCTCAGGCTGGTCTCACCATTTTCCTTCCTCTAATTCTTTCAGTAAGAACCAAACAGTTCTACCTGCTCTTCTCCCATCCCATGTGTCCTTTGTCCCTTGTGTGAGCCAAGGAACAAGTGTCATGCTGGTGCAGCCCATGCAAGCTGTGCAAGAAGAGAACTCTCCCTCTTCTCTGGCACTTACAAATTACCTGCCAATACCACTGACTCCAGGAGGGGACCTCTCCAATATTCACGCTTCTTTCTGGCCCCAAAACCAAGAAAAATGCCAGAATCACAAAGAACAGATGGGCACAGTATTGCAGTGGAAGGACTATTCTCATCCTCATCTGGAGCGCAGAAAACACCAATTGCAGGATCTGGGTCAGGTGGACTTATCTTACATTATGCAATGGTGGGATGAGTGCTGCCAGGCTCTGCTTGCAGAATGGGATCCTCAAGAAGGGACATCCTGAGCCAGACTTATGGCCACAGTCAGCTGGAGAACCATCTTATCCCCTTGGTCAACTGCACCAGTATGTACAAACCTCAAGCCTCTAGGTCTACTCTTGCAGTCCACAGATTTTCAGGAAAAGGTACAACCTCTTCTGAGTCTTATCCTGATCCATAGGAAAAGTACATTCCAGGACCCCAACTGTGCCTCAGTGAGGAAGATTTTCAGGCTCTGCTCCACATGATGCAAAGGACAATGAACAACGAAGTTATCCTGTTTAGATTAATGCAGGGAGGAGAAACCACTTGGAAATCCAAATAAAGGTTTTACTCCGTGCTGTGGGCAGGGGTTTATCTTCTGTACTCACTTTACTGAATAAAGGATTGCCTCCAAGCTCCATACTGCCTCTGGAAGCACCATGGGCACTAGGCAGTGGACACATCGGCTGAATCCTTATGAACAAAAGCATTTTACTGACAAATATGACCTCTTTCAAGTAATCATCATGTCCTCCAGCATCTAGAAAATCTACAAATTGTAACTGAACCAAGGTAAGAACAGGTCTACAAGGAACACTTCAGCACTTCTTTCCCTGGGGCAAGATGGGAAGACAAACTTGAAATTAGTTTGTTGTGTAGAAAATAAAAGGATGCTATATTTCCTGATAATGTAAATTCATCAAGAGAGCTTTCTCTCAAAGTTCTGAGAGTTTGAATTGAGAACTAAAAACTAAAAAGAATGATTAGATGAATTAGAATAAAGCCATAATACTAAGCATTTTCACTTATAAACTTTTTTCCTTTGACTATTTAAAACACAAAAAATATAAGGAAAATAAAATGGCAACACCATACAGTCACTGAATATAATCTAATCATGTTACTATTTCCACTCTTACGTTTTTGATATGTATTTACCTGTATGTACAAACACATACATATCCATAAAATTCTTCATTTTGTTATAAATTATATGTCAGTCTAAAGCCTAGGATTACCATTCTCATTCTTTTCCCTTCTTTTGAAATGGTAGCTTCTAAAAATAGGTTTTGGTGTCCGAAGATGTATGTGGGTTTACTTTGGTACAATAAAAAGTATCTTTGAAAAATATTACTTTGTTAATTTTATCAATTTGCATTGGTCTTGTTTTCTTTCCAGGTGAAGGTGTTAGAATGAGGTCAGTACACATGTATTTCTATGCCAGTTTTACACTAATACAGTTGTAAGGCAGACATCCTTACTGATGTCTGAGTGTACTATGTGCAAAATTTCTCTAGGTGTTTCTATACTAAAAGACAAGTGCCAGAATATTCCAACATTAATGTTTATGGTCAAATGACACTCAGCTGAAGTTATTTTTCCTAATATTAGCTGTACTTTCATTATCATCTAGGGAATTAAAACTCATGCATATGTGTAACACAGAGACACATTAGTGGCACAAATCTATAAAAAATAAGGATTTGATATAATTGAGTATTGATACTATGCACAGACTGAGAGGCTTAAACAACAGTTTCTCACACTTCTGGAGGCTGGAATTCCAAGCTGTGTCTGCAGGTTTGATTTCTTCGATTTCTGAGGCCTCTCTCTCTGCTATGCTGATAGCCGTCTTCTCCCTGGGTCCTTACTTGGTCTTCTATTTGTATGCACACTCCTGGTGTGCCTCTTGGTATACCCCAATATCCTCTTCTGAGATTTCATTTTCTTGGATTCAGGTGCACTGGCTCTGGCTTAGGTTTTGGTTTATGAGGCTACGAAAGGCATTAGAGTCACCCGTCTAATAGCCTCCTTGTTTAATTACTTTAACTCCTCTAAGAACTTTTCAGGAAATTTCCCCACTTTAAAAATGTTAGAAAGTAAATTGATTTGCTTAATTCTACATCATGGACAACAGCTATTGATTAAATACATAACCCATCATACAGAACAGTCATCACCAAGCTTCTCTCAAGAGCCCAAATGAGCTCTTCAAACCTTTGAACACAAATTTATTACCTCACGTCTGAAGTAGCCCAAGGTAGCAGATGATGAGCTCAGCAAATAACCTAATATATTCCCCAGAAAGATCCCTGAGCTGATAAACTATAAAAACTGAAAGCCGCAGGTAGAAAATCGAAAGAACTGGGGAAGCCTTCCTTGTTAACAGACACAACTATACTGGAAGCTGCAGAACCTGAGAGAAAATGACCAGGAAGACATGTAGTGAGTTTCACGGATAGAAGCATAAATGGCATTTGCTATAAGAAAATATGCTCGGGAAGCAACTTAAAAACCCTAAGGAAAGTTATAGAGATGAGACAAGAACCCAAAAGGTTAAGTCCAGATTGATGATAAGACACTTGCAGGAAATCTCCCTCTTCTGCTGTTAGAACTATAGCAACCAGAGGGGAGCAGCCAATAGGATAAGCTAAGGATGGAAGAGCAGAAAAATAGAATGCGGAAGCCACGCTGCCTCAGGACTTCTTGTTATATAGACAAGAAATAAATCCCCTTATTGTTTTAAAGTCCTTTAGGTTTTCTGTTACATGGAACTAAATACCTTACTGATACGGGCAGGTGGGCATATGATCCAGCAAACAGTATTAGGCCAAAAACAAGAGAGGATCAGAACAGTCCAAGAAGCAAGTTAAACTACTCCTGATTAAAAGCAATAGGAAACAGGAAAACTAAATCCAGGGGTATAGCCCACT